TGACCTAGTAATCGGGTATTGTGAAAAGTTGAGACAGGTTCAAGTTAGATAAAACTATAAGTGACTTTAAATTAAATAAATTCAACTTTTAAAATAATTGTGATTGTGACCTCAAATTAAATTAGTAACATTGCATAACTTTAGTCAGAAGTGATATTGTTAACAGGTTTTAATGAAGAGGAATTATTTGATAGATGAGATTCGATATAAATCAATTTAATCTATATACGTAATATATAAATGGAAGAATATCAATCCATTTTGTTGACTTTGTATATAAAATTTGACCGAAGATTAATAGGATGTTTTAGATGAATATTATTTAATTTTAGTAAGTAGATATATTTGTAAATAAATAACTAACTATTTATACACAAAAACATTTTTAAAGGGGTTGCAAATGTTAATAGAAACTCAACTCAAACTCAACTTTTTAAAATGTTAATATAAAAGTACACTTTTTGGTTTTATGGCACTCTCTTTTTGCAAATCATATTTTTTTTAACTGTCCGTAGGGTAAGTTATAGTAATCGTCTAAAAATAAAAAATGAAAATTTTTGCATTTCTCGACGTTTTGAAGGTTTTTCAACATTTTACTGGCATACCTTAGAAACTAAATTGATGTGTGTGTTGTGTTTTGTATGTCCGCACGGATCAACCTATTTGAATAATTTTGTGAATTAGTTTTTGGCGAAGGCAGCTCTAGCCGTTCCGAAGGTATGGGCAAAAAGTGCCAAAAACGGTAACTCAGTTTTAAGAGAACGGAGCGTCCGATTTGAATAATTCAAAACGTATTTTACTTGTATTGACTAAACGAAGAACTGTTTAAATTTTTGGAAAGGCAGGTCTAGCGGTTATGGACTCTCAATAAAAATATGTTTTTAAACGTGTGTACACATTTTGTGTGATTTTTTCGGTCCGTACCAAGATTTTTAATTTTAAATTTCACGTATCTTGGTTTAAACAAATGTCCCCAACATTTAGTATGGAATAACCGATTTGTATGATTGAAAAATCATTCGGTTCGTACTCGATCGCGAGGCGTTTTTGCAAAAAGCCACATCTTGCCGTTTCGGAGGTATGGAGCGTAAAACGGTTATGCAGTTTTTGAGAGAACGGATCATCCGATTAAATTAATTCAAAACAAATTTTGCTTGAGAGATTGTGTACAAAAAATGCTTTTGCAGAAAATTTCGTAATTTTGAAAAATTTCATAAAAAATTCAACATTTTAAAAGAATCAAAGTTAGAAAATTTAAAATTTCGAAATTTTTTATCATTTGAAAAAAAAACTGAATTTAAAAAAATTTCAAGTTATATCAAAATTAAAAAAAAACTATTCTTACAAAAATTTGAGAATATTTTGAAATTTTCAAAAAATCGAATATTTTCAAAAATTTTAAATTCTCAAAAAATTAAGAAAAACGTTAAAAATGAAATACAGAAAATTTCAAACTTCTAAAAAAAAATTCAAAATTTAGAGAAAAAAATACCAATTATCAAAAAAATCAAATTAAAAAAAAAACTGAACCAATTTTTTAAAACATACACAAAGTTGTTTGTAGAATACCCTCGTCGCTTATTTTAAAAGCACTTATAATTTTACGTTGTGTATTTATAATAAATTAATCTAATTGAAATCATCAAAACAAATATTGATTATTTTCATTTCTCGAATATTTCATTACGGCACGGGAAGTTCCAGCAATTTGCCTTAAGGCACGATGCCATACACCACTAGTTTTATTTTAATTTTACTTACCCTGTTGTACCGACTTCTGACCTCTTTGTTCCTTCCAAAATTTGCCAACATTTTTAATGTTTTCTGCACTCATCATTCTATTAACTAATATTAAGAAATTTTTTCACAAGTTTTATTTTTTGTTGCAACATGGTTTATTTAATTGCAACATTTTTTAAAAATGCTATTTATTGTCATTTCTTAAAACTAAAACTAATATATGTTAGACACAACAATGCAAGAAGAATTAGATCGTTTCCATGGAATCAAAAACATCGTAGACATTACACTACATGGACTGATAGTCCTTATATATTTTTCGTTGTAAAAGTGTTCAAACATAGAAGGGACTGTGTGACGCGACTAGGGTGTAAATCTGTGCAAATGCAACGGAAGAGCGTTACGTTCGAGCCGAGTGCCAATGATTCGTCCCGATGATATCATTTCTATACGGGTCGATTGTGATTGGTCGTCGTGTCTCGTGAGAGTGTTTAATAAAACTAATAAAAAATCTGTGCCGTGTAAGAAACGAGTTTACTGAAATAATCTGGATTATATACTAGCTGACCCGGCGAACTTAATGGTAATAAATAAGCAGTTTTTTTAAATTGAAAAAAAAAAAAATTTCATTCAATTATTTTTGTATTTTAGTACATAGGTTGCTCTTCATTTATTTAAGTACTTTGTGATACACGACATTTTTTGTTTTAACACTACATTTAACATAAAGTAGTCGAGTAATTTCAATTAGACCTTTTTATTGTCCATCAAAGCACATTTACTATTAATGTATATGTCAATTAGTTGCAAACCCCTAAAACATTTTATAAGATATATATAAAGATTAATATATAACTTTTTACGTTTTTTTTATTAAAATTTGAGGTTATGTTAAGAAATTATATTTCAAATAGTTTTTTATTAATGTTAATGATTATACATATTGCTGATTATAAACACGTCGAATACTCTATTTAATACGTATATACAAATATACATAAATACCTAAGTATATAATTAATTATATTCCTATTTTCAAGAAATAAATTTCTCCATCGTCCATCTGGCATTGCTTGCTATTATAAGAATTAATTCATTTGCCACTTAAATAATATAATAAATAATTTATATTATTTACGTAATAATTTTCCGAAAAATTATGATTAAAAAATTTATATATATATTTGTATCAAAGCAAAAACACCGATAGACATTGACAGTTGAAAGTAAAGCCATGGAAAAATATGAATCAGAGATTGAATAAACTGAATGGATAGTTTGTAATTAATTAATTTTGAATTTGAATGAAAACGGGATAAAAAGTATCCTATGTTTTTCTCCTGGCTCTAAACTACCTCCCTACCAAATTTCAGCTAAATCGGTTCAGCCGTTCGTGAGTTATAAGTGTTCTAACTAACACAATCCTCTTTTATATATATAGTAGATTTAGAAATTATTTTGTAGGCAAGACACATATTACAGCTGCTCAAATATGAGACTGCATCGCTAGCGAAATAGTAAAAAATTCAATCAGTCAATGAATGTACGTTAATTTTAATTACACGATAAGTACAATTTCTCTAAGGTTCAAGCTCTAAATGCTAATTACAATGACAAACCGATCACGTCATATTTGAAGTATGACTTTAATTACATAATTACATTATTGTTTTGAAATATTATAAATATTTTTAATGCTATTAAAAATGCAAACAAGTTTTACTTTTTTTTATCTAACAGTAGGTGTTTTGGATTTCGACATTTGTGGTCCAAGTCAACCGAGATGTTTTGGAGTTTTACAGGAAACTGTTCACAGTTCTGGTTCTGGATGGTCACCAGTGGTAATAAAAAATAATAATTAACTCTTTTAACCCTAATATATATATATATATATATATATATATATACATCTTCTTTATCCAGTTCATCAACGATAACTTGTGCATAATGTCCATTGGATTTTTCATAAACCCTGACGATGCTGTCATATGGCGAGGACCTAAGAAAAATGGTAAAAAAATTTAAAACAAAATTCTTTGGGTATCTTATGCATGAGGATTGTGAAAATGTCTGTCTAGTTGCTGTGCGATCAGGCGTATTTTACATAAAAACAAGTCCGGGGCATGTTCGAGGATTCTGTTATCATAACATTTTTCCTTGCTTGTTTATATGTAAAATACGCCTGAACATACAGCAATTGTTTATAACATTTTTTCTTCAAGTTATTGTATTAGACAATACTAATGTTAGGCTTAATATTGTTTTATAGTTGTATTTTTACTGCAATTAATTCAATTAAGATAATTTATTTTATGTAATTATTAATTTTAATCCTGTATCCGTAATATAAAAATAAATATAAATATAGATATAAATATAAATATAAATTAGACATTTTCACAGTTTTCACTACCAATAAACAAACCTAATATAGAATTGTCCTTTTTATCAGAGTTTAGATTTAAATTTTTCTTTAGGTATGATACAGAAATTTTTAAGCCAAACCGATTGGGGTACTGACATGGAATATTTGTTAATGGATACCCCCCCTGGTACATCCGATGAACATTTGTCAGCACATACATATTTAAAAGAATGTGATTTGACTGGTGCCATAATTATTACGACACCACAAGAAGTTGCTCTGCTTGATGTCAGGAAGGAAATTGATTTTTGTAGAAAGGTAATAATTAATAATAATGTTATGACAAGGCCATGAATGCTCCACCTTTCATACATTATGCTACTGTATCATACTGTCAAAATGTCCATGAGGTTGTTGTGCATTCTGGCGTTTTACACGTAAACTGCAACGTTACGCGTATGTTATGAAGCTGGGTCAGAAAGATCATGTTATGTAAGATAGTTTGTTTGACGTTTGTGCGGTTTTTAGGTTAGGTTTTCTCTGACGCCTGACTGCACAGAAACCGCATGGCTTTTGTCAATATTTACTTATTTTAAACTATTGATTAATTATTATATTTATCATTTTTGTTTCAGGTTGGAATTCCTGTATTAGGTGTTATTGAAAACATGTCGCTTTTCATTTGTCCAAAATGTACGGTAAGTACAAAAAATAAATATAATATTTATAATATATTGTAATATTTATATATATATATATATATATATATATATATATATATAAGAAAATGACTTTTTGCCTTAAGGCAAGTTGCATACATTTTCTGATAAATGTAAATCAATGTTAGGTAATAGTGGGTATATATATAAATTTTTTGGGTGCCCTTTTGAAGAGCTCTGCAGGACGTATCGTGTGCACTAGGGTCTTAAAATTTTTATATAGTAATCTTGGATATGTTTTTCGTGAAACTGCATAATTAAAATATTAAATTTGGTTTCTGGTTGTTTTTGAGATGTTTTTGAAAACAAAGTGCTACAGATACTAGTAAGGATGTTGTAATTTTGTGGTGTGTATTTGAAGAGCTCTGCAGGATGTACTTTTTGATCTAGAATCTTAAAATTTTTTTGCAGCAATCTTGGATATGTTTAGTGCAAAACTGCATAATTAGATTATCAAATTGGATTTTTGACAATTTTAATTTTTTTTTTGAATATAATGTAACAAATGCTTAAATGAAACAAATACTTCAGGTATTAGTAAGAATGTGCTAATTTTTGTGGTGCAAGTTTGAAGAGCTCTGCAGGACGTAACCTTTGCACTAGGGTCTTAAAATTTTTATATAGTAATCTTGGATATGTTTTTAGTGAAATTGCATAATTAAATTTTCAAATTTGGTTTTTAGTTATTTTTGAGATTTTTTTAAAACTATATATGCATTACAGATAGTAGTTTTAGTAGGAATATTTTATTTATTGTGGTATGTGTTTGGAGAGCTCTGCAGGATGTACTTTTTGCACCAGGGTCATAAAATTTTAATAAAATAATCTGGGATATATTTCTCATAAAATTGCATAACTAAATTATCTAATTTGGTTTTTAACTATTTTTGCGAATTTTTTAAACCGTGCACTACAGATACTGGTAAGAGTATTTCATTTATCACGGTGTATGTTTGAAGAGCTCTGCAGAACGTACTGTTTGCATTAGAGTCAAATAATTTTTATATAGTAATCTTGGATATGTTTTTAGGGAAATTGCATGATTAAATTTTTAAAATTTGTTTTTACCTATTTTTGAGATTTTTTTGAAACTATATATGCATTACAGATAGTCGTTACAGTAGGAATATTTCATTTATCATAGTGTATGTTTGGAGAGCTCTGCAGGACGTATATTTTGCACTAGGGTTATATAATTTTTATATAGTAATTTTGGACATATTTCTTATAAAATTGCATAAGTAAAACATCAAATTTGATTTTTAGTTATTTTTGAGATTTTTTTGAATCAAAGTATGCGCTATAAATACTATGAGTATTATGATTATAGTGGCCTATGTTTGAAGAGCTCTGCAGGACGTATCATGAGCACTAGAGTCTTAAAATTTTGATGTAGTAATCTTAGATATGTTTTTAATAAAATTGCATAATTAAATTATCAAATTTGATTTTTGGTTATCTTTGAGTTTTTTTTTAAAACATGCACTACATATAGTAGTAAAACTATTTCATTTATGATAGTGTGTGTTTGGAGAGCTCTGCAGGACGTACTATTGGCACTAGGTTCTTCAAATTTTTATGTAGTAATTTTGGATATGCTTACTGCAAAACTGCATAATTAAATTTTAAAATTTGGTTTTTGACAATTTTTGAGATTTTTTTAAAACTATATATGCATTACAGATACTACAGTAGTAGGAATATTTCATTTATTGTGGTATGTGTTTGAAGAGCTCTGCAGGACGTAACGTTTGCACTAGGGTCTTAAAATTTTTATATAGTAATCTTGGATATGTTTTTAGTGAAATTGCATAATTAAATTTTAAAATTTGGTTTTTGGTTGTTTTTGAGATTTTTTTGAATCAAAGTATGCGCTATAAATACTAGTATGAGTATTTTGATTATAGTGGCTTATGTTTGAAGAGCTCTGCAGGACGTATCATGAGCACTAGAGTCTTAAAATTTTGATGTAGTAATCTTAGATATGTTTTTAATAAAATTGCATAATTTAGTTTTTAACTATTTTTGTGATTTTTTAAAAACATGCACTACAGATACTAGTAAGAATATTTCATTTATGATAGTGTTTTTGAGGAGCTCTGCAGAACGTACTGTTTGCAATTGGGGCTTAAAATTTATATATAGCAATCTTGAATATGTTTACTATGAAACTGCATAATTAAATTATCAAATTTGATTTTTGGTTATCTTTGAGTTTATTTTTAAAACATGCACTACAGATAGTAGTAAAAATATTTCATTTATGATAGTGTGTGTTTGGAGAGCTCTGCAGGACGTACTTTTTGCACTAGCGTCTTAAAATTTTTATGTGGCAATCTTCAATATGTTTACTGCAAAACTGCATGATTAAAACATCAAATTTGGTTTTTAATTATTTATGAGATTTTTTGAAAATAAAGTGCTACAGATACTAGTCAGAACGTGCCAATTTTTGTGGTGTAAGTTTGGAGAGCTCTGCAGGACGTACTGTTTGCATTAGAGTCATATAATTTTTATATAAGAATCTTGGATATATTTACCATCAAACAGCATATTTAGATTATCAAATTTGGTTTTTAGTTATTTTTGAGAATTTTTTGAAAACAATGTAACAAATGCTTAAATGAAACAAATACTTCAGATACTAGTAAGAATGTGCCGATTTTTGTGGTGTAAGTTTGAAGAGCTCTGCAGGGCGCACTGTTTGTACTACCAACTTGTAATTTTTATATTACAATCTTAAATACATTTACCATCAAACTGCATAATTAAAATATCAAGTTTGGTTTTTAATTATTTTTGATATTTTTTTTTTGAAAACAAAGTGCTACAGATACTAGTAAGATTTAAGTAAGGTTGCTGTGCTGTTAGGCGTATTTCTCAAATTGTCAGATAGATAACCTAACCTAGAAAACCGTACAATATTAGATAACAGGGAGTTTCTGACTCAGCTTCATAACATACGAGTGACGTCGCAGTTTATGTGTGAAACGCCTGAATGCACAGCAAATACATGATATTTTGACAGTTTTCAGTATGATTCAGTGGCATAATGTATGGAAGTTGGAGCGTAACATCGCCTTGCCATAACTTTTTTCTATTGAAATTATTTTCTTTCCTTAGCATCAATCGGAGATTTTTCCAGCTCGAACCGGTGGAGCCCAAAAAATGTGCAATGATTTAAATTTAAAATTACTAGGATCGATGCCACTTGAACCTAAATTAGCCAGAAGTTGTGATGAGGGCAAAGATTATTTAGAAGAGACTAGTAAAGAGACTCCGGCTGTTCAAGCACTCAAGACGATAGTAGAAAGTGAGTAAATTATATATTTATATACATATATATCTTATATATAAAATTCTTCTGTACGGCTGTACGATTCGATACTTCCCCTAAACGGTTATTCGGATTTTGATAATTCTTTTTGGAGTTTGTCAAAGAAAATTTTTAAGATTCAATGAACATTAAAACTATAGTAATATTGTAGAAATAAATGGAAAAAATACAAAACTAACACTTCTCATGGTTTGACATTGAACACATTTAAACTGTCATCTGCTAGAAATGTCAATTCACTTGAAATTTGAATTTTGCTGACATTATGAGCCTAGATAATATTAGAATACAATACACAAGAAAAATGCAATGTCTACATTATTATTGCCGAAAAGCATTGCTGAGATGTGCCACAAATTAAAATAATATAAGATATAGTCAACAGTACATGTTTGGCAGATGCAATTATATAATTCAGTTTTAAGTACAAAATTGCATATACATCAGTTTTTCGAACTTATGCATGTCGCATTTAGGTTTACCTTACCAAATTATTTAACAATACAAAAAATATAAAACAATCAATTTCCAGATTTGCTGGCAACTCTTCCTGAGTCTTAATAAAAAATAATAATAAATAAATCACGTTGAAGGAATTTATTAAAAGAGGACCAAACCAATGGAAATATTAATGGATGATAAATTGGAAATATTTTTTAATAACACACGTCTTTGATGGAGAAATAAAATAATTGGATTGAACTATATATATATATATATATATATATATATATATATATATTATATATATATATATATATATATATATATATATATATATATCTTGTTTTCGACATTGAAACATATTTAAGAGTAACTAGCAGCCCATTCGTCGAAATAAAAAATGTAAAAAGTATTAAAATTTTTATTTATACGTTTCGACACCCGATGCGTGTCATCATTCAGCAACTATAATAAATTTGAAACATTTTATTAATAATAAAATAAATATAAACATAGAGAAACATTATACATACCACCGGGACAAAAACACTCAAAAAGAAAAATTAAAATTGTATTAAAATTGGAGGACATTTTTTGGAAAAATTATAATGAGATTATTTATGATGAGATTATTTTATATTTGTTTTATCATTAGTAAAATGTTTCAAATTTATTGTAGTTGCTGAATGATGGCACGAATCGGGTGTCGAAACGTATAAATAAAAGGTTTTAAATACTTTTTATATTTTTAATCTCGACGAATAGGCTGTTAGTTACTCTTATATATACATATATATATATATTATATATATATATATATATATATACATATATATAAATCTTATTACATTGTTTATAAAGTAGATGTTTTATATTTTGTATATTCATAAGAACAAAGGTATGTATGTTTGAAGAATGCAAATTATTAAATATAATATAAATTCGTAAAAGATATTATATGAAATTTTAATGTTTTGATAAAGTAAGTACAGTGTAAAGTTATTTATAGATTATTTTTTAACTAGCTAAAGGTGTTCGTTTTGCAGTTCGCACAATTTTGTGTCGTCCATGACGAGTATGACGAGTATATTCGTCACAGGGTAAGTTGAGTCTAAATTTTACTTCTATATTTACATGAACGCTTCAAAAAATCGCGTTTTTTGAGGAATTTTTAGAGGAGGACATAAATATTTAATTCAAACGAAACTTTCAGGTTTTATTGTTATACATTTCAATATTGTTCTCAAATTTTTTCATTAAAATATATGTCATAATGTAAAAATATTGTAAAATAGTGTTTTTTTTTTTTTTTTTTTTTTTTTTTTTAATTTCAATAATTATTACAACTGCTAATTTATTAACATCAAGTAATATTGATAAATAATAATATAATTTAAATAAATAAAAGAGCAAAGGATAAAATTTACATGAAAATAATATCCGTAATATGATTTAATGTAAAATATAAGCAAATAATAATAAAATAAGATTAATAAATAATAAATAAAATTTCAGAATAATAAAATAATACTAGAAAAATAATAATTATAACAAAATAACAATAATAGAAATAGTAAGATAATAATAATAATAATAATAATAATAATAATAATTATAATAATAATAATAATAAAATAATAATAGTAATAATAACAATAATAATAATAATAATTTACAAATTTATAAGATCGTTTGGAATTTTTCGTTTTAGTCTTGTTGTTCTTAAAATAGTGTTTGTGTGTGAACAGATTTTCGATGTATCTCAATGAGGACTATTGTTTCTCAGTTTTGTGCGACGATCGGCCAAGCCGTTTCTTTGTTATTTGGAAAAAAGTGTTAAACTTTTCGTCCACATTTAAGCTCATTCTACCGAATCGATTTAAAAACTAGTTGGTTTGGTATTTAGCCTTGAGGCAAGTTACATGAACTTCCCGATATGTGTAAATAATCTAGACTTAATGAATGAAATATAAATTAATTTGTGAGAGATTAAAAGTATTCCGAGTAAATTTATTACACATTATTGAAAACGAACGAACACGTTATCTCGGAGTATTTTCTAAAAGCTAAGTTCCAAAAATCAACAATTTTTATAATTGAGCCAGTTTTTTGTAGGACTTTAATGGTTTAGAATGTTTAATGAGACCAAGTACTCTATCGTTATACCAAGTAAATCATCTAATTTTAATTTTAACAAATGTCAACAAAACTACTCATTTTCTCAAACTTTGATGAATTTTTAAAATTACGGCCTTACGACAAGTAGTATAATTTCACTCACAAATTAATTTATATTTCATTCATTAAGTCTGGATTATTTACACATATCGGGAAGTTCATGTAACTTGCCCCAAGGTAAAATACCAATACCAACTAGTTAATTAAGCCTATTACCATGTGTGAAAAATTAAATATTACTAATTATATAATATCCTATCCCTGACTTTTCCAAGTCACAAGACGTTAATGTCGACAAAAGCGAGAAAAACAGATTTAGCGTCTGCAATTAACGACCTCCGACAATAATAATGAACACAATTTAACTAAATGTGCACCCCCTTTTCGAATTACCAACCAACCCTCATTTTAGCCCCATTCTACTATCCTCAGATGGAGTTGGTATTTAACAATTCAATTACCACGGAGGAACAGACGGTGGGTTGATAATAGGTTGATGGGTTGAGAAATTGTTTTAATACAAGAAGTTTATATATACATTTATATATTTAATATATTCAAAATCCACAAACATTCCTATAGTTATACACGTGTTTAAATCGATATATACATTTATATATTTAATTTAGACAAAATCCACAAACATTCCTATAGTTATACACGTGTATAAATCGATATATACATTTATATATTGAATTTAGACAAAATCCACATACATTCCTATAGTTATACACGTGTATAAATCGATATATACATTTATATATTGAATTTAGACAAAATCCATAAACATTCCTATAGTTATACACGTGTATAAATCGATATATACATTTATATATTGATTTTAGACAAAATCCACAAACATTCCGATAGTTATGCACGTGTATAAATCGATATATATATTATATATTCAATTTAGACAAAATCCTCAAACATTCCTATAGTTATACAAGTGTATAAATCGATATATACATTTATATTTGAATTTAGACAAAATCCACAAACATTCCCATTGTTATACACGTGTATAAATCGATATATACATTTATATATTTAATTTAGACAAATCCACAAACATTCCTATAGTTATACACGTGTATAATCGATATATACATTTATATATTTAATTTAGACAAATCCCAAACATTCCTATAGTTATACACGTGTATAATCGATATATACATTTATATATTGAATTTAGACAAAATCCACAAACATTTCTATAGTTATACACGTGTATAAATCGATATATACATTTATATATTTAATTTAGACAAAATACACAACAATCCTATAGCTATACACGTGTATAAATCGATATATAAATTTATATATTTAATTTAGACAAAATCCACAAACATTCCCATTGTTATACACGTGTATAAATCGATATATAAATTTATATATTTAATTTAGACAAAATCCACAAACATTCCCATTGTTATACACGTGTATAAATCGATATATACATTTATATATTCAATTTAGACAAAATCCACAAACATTCCCATTGTTTACACGTGTATAAATCGATATATACATTTATATATTCAATTTAGACAAATCCACAAACATTCCTATAGTTGTACACGCGAATAAATCGATATATACATTTATTAATCGAATTTAGACAAATCCGCAAGCATTCTTATAGTTATACACGTGTATAAATCGATATATACATCCACGTAATTTTTAGAAGCTAAATATTTTTTAAAAATATATTAAATAAGTTATTTTCTTAGGTAGTAGGACTTAGGCAACTTTACTAGTTAACTAATTTTGAGTATTTTTGAGTAGACCAATTTTTTTTTAAATCACACTATGAATTTTTTCAACCCAAAAATCTTGTATTTCCAAGAAATTATGATTATATAACGACAAAAACAGCATCAACAAACGAAATGACAATGTTTATTTTTGTACGTGACAAACACTTGGTTTTTTATAGTATTTTAGAGGTTATGTTATAGACACGTGGTTTTAGTTGACATTTGAAGATTTGTTGAAAAATTACAAAATGTTTGTGACTTAATTCTTTTATAATTTTTTAAGAAAAATGTGGAATTACTAATTTTAAATCAGAACAGTCAGTGCACAGTTTTAAAAACTTTTTGTTTGTGGAGTTGACAAAAAAATACTTCAGCGAATATTGTGATACAATGGAGTATTTGTATTATTCAACAAGGACATACAAATGTAAGTACTTTATTTACTTAAATTGTTACAAACTCTTCATTTACATATATAAATGTATATATCGATTTATACACGTGTATAACTGTAGGAATGTTTGTGGATTTTGTCTAAATTCAATATATAAATGTATATATCGATGTATACACGTGTATAACTGTAGGAATGTTTGTGGATTTTGTCTGAATTCAATATATAAATGTATATATCGTTTTATACACGTGTATAACTGTAGAAATGTTTGTGGATTTTGTCTAAATCCAATATATAAATGTATATATCGATTTATACAAGTGCATAACTACAGGAATGTTTGTGGATTTCGTTTAAATTAAATATATAAATGTATACATCGATTTATACACGTGTATAACTATAGGAATGTTTGTGGATTATATCTAAATTCAATATATAAATGTATATATCGTTTTATACACGTGTATAACTGTAGGAATGTTTGTGGATTTTGTCTCAATTCAATATATAAATGTATATATCGTTTTATACACGTGTATAACTATAGGAATGTTTGTGGATTTTTCTAAATTCAATATATAAATGTATATATCGATTTATACACGTGTATAACTACAGGAATGTTTGTGGATTTTGTATAAATTAAATATATAAATGTATATATCGATTTATACACGTGTATAACTACAGGAATGTTTGTGGATTTTGTATAAAATCAATATATAAATGTATATATCGATTTATACACGTGTACAACTATAGGCATATTTGTGGATTTTGTCTAAATTCAATATATAAATTTTTATATCGATTTATACACGTGTATAACTATAGGAATCTTTGTGGATTTTGTCTAAATTCAATATATAAATGTA